TGTCACGCTGAGACTGCAGGTGGAGGGGGGGGTGTAAATCCAATCTCCTCCTCCTCCTCCTCCTCCTCCTCCTCCTCCTTCTTCTTGGAAGGTTCCCCAAGTTTTAAAGGCATTTGTATTTTGCATGAACGTATTCTCCTTGGCCAAATCATTACGGTGTGATACCCTCCACTTTAAACCATCCATTCTACCTTACAGCATCCGTGGATAAAGTCTGCAGTCAAATGTAGCGTAGGACACAAAGCACAGACAAAGCTTCATAAGCTCCACTGTTGTGTTATCCCTTCAAAATGAAATGCTGTGTATGATGACCTAATTTGCTGGAACTCCATGTTCTGAATAATTGCTAATGAGGTCATTTTGATCGTCTGCTTCACAATTTTTGATCTCTGCACAGGAAGGGGGCACAGAACTAGTGTAACAGAACGGTACAGAAGTGGTGTAGTTTGCTGCTCACAGGAGAGGGAGGAGCAGCCGTTTCCTCTCCTCCTGCCGAGGGCCTGTGTGACGACCCCTTTACTGGGGAGGTCTGGTTTCCCTTTAAAAGTGTACTTTATGTTTTTCTCTACTGGGTAATCCGGCTGCCACCAGGAAATTTAAGGCTTTCCAAACCTTTATAATATAATATTCATCACTGGGTAGGTATATCGAGGGTTTAAGCTTTCGAGGAACTATGTGGTCTGAGGAAGGATTCTTTCCAGAGCTGGTATACTTGAATGAAATAGGATTTATTTAAAGAACACATAAATACGAGGGTAGAACCATGTAACTAGTAAAGTAGGTATAACACACAGTCTGCTCCCTACTGACAGGGATTTTTCCTTAGGTAACTTTGTAACACTTTTTCCTTCAGGCCATATATGGTTACTGTTTCTTTATATTTCAACTTTTCATAACACACACAAGAAGGTCTCTCCTTCAGACCCCAGAACTAAACTCATCCCACACAGGGATGGGTCTCTTCTCATACACAGAACTGCTGTTTCTCTCACAGAACTCAGAACTTGACTGATCTTCATCAACTGTCACATCTAACTGACCCTCTTGATAGACATTCAAATCACACAGCATCCATTCCAAAACCCCTCCCCCTCTCTGTCACTCACCAATCATATCACTTGCCTGATTTCAGCACTCTAGATTATCATCACAGCCATGCAAACAAACTTTTAAACACACACACACACAGTTAAACATGAAATCATTACAGCCTGATTCTCATTGAGAGAGTAAGTTTGTCTGGACTGTACTATTCAGGCTGCCGATGGAAGCTCACACAATTGAATGTTCTAAGTAAAAACATCACCTGTATATAAAAAACTAGATCTTAGGTAGAAGGCTAGGTTGGAACCAATGTTCTCTCTAAGCTGAGTTAGTGTGAGCTAGCTCACAGTTTTTTAGCCTCCGGCTCACCCATTTTTGTCTTAGCTTGGGAAGGAGGGCTCCAGAGCAAACTAATTTATGCAGCAGCCAAACCGCTCACTCACAGCTTTAATGCCAGGAGCTCACAAAGTAGGATTTTTGCTCACAAGACTCCACGGCTTAGAGGGAGCATTGGTTGGAACCCTTCTCACGAGTTTCTCTGGGCAGAGAGAGGTGTTTCAGTGGAGGGGTAAGAGGAGGGCAGTGTTCCCTCTAAGCTGAATTAGTGTGAGCTAGCTCACAGTTTTTTAGCCTCCAGCTCACCCATTTTTGTTTTAGCTCAGGAAGGACGGCTCCAGAGCAAACTAATTCATGCAGCAGCCAAATTGCTTGCTCACAACTTTAATGCCAGTAGCTCACAAAGTAGAGTTATTGCTCATAAGACTCCACAGCTTAGAGGGAGCATTGGAGGAGGATTATGCGTGAGCTTCCTTTTGCAGTCTGAAGCAGTTCAGTGCCAGCATGGAATTATTGCCTTCAGTAGAGCTAGTCTGGAGTCAGAAAGGTCGCTATGGATTAGTTCTCTGCACATCGAAGAACCAAAAGACACAGAGGTGCAGCCCTGCTAAAGGTGATAGTTCTGTTTCTAAACAGCAAAAAGGAGCAGAAATGCATCTGTCTCTATAAAACCAATGAAGAGGCAACTGGGTGAGGTTTATGGGGTCAGCAAGAAGTGCCATGGCGTTGTCGCTTTCTGGCTAGAAAGAATACAGCTGGTTTCCTCCTCACATTCAAACTAGAGAGGGAATGGATGCACTTCTGCGGTGCGTTTTGCGGCTATGGACGAACTAGTTACCAGTACTGAGTGTCTTGCCACAGGCATTTGAAAGGAGCAGAAAGAGAGGCTGGTTGAGCATTGTCATTTCCTACATACGAATTTTTAGACACAGCTTTGGAATGGTTTCGTCTGCAACCCGCGAGCTCCAAGGGTCTCGTTCCCTGCCCGGCCAACTTTATGACCAGTTTGAATAGGGCTTCCTGAGCCGGTAACGTCAGATTCCTGCAGCATTCAGTTCCCAACAACTCTCTTGCCAAGAAGTAAAGTTTATTGAGACATTGAAGCATGCAGATCATCTTGACACATCCCGTGTTAGAACTGGCAATAAGCACGCGAAGCAAGCAGAAATGCATAATTCAAGAGGGTCCCCTGATGGCCCGGAGCCAATCACGGAACAGGTAGGAGCCTGCCACAGCTAACGGGTCCAGTTTCCCAGGAGAAAGCTGGTGCTAGACACCAAGGCCAAACGCTCATGTTACAGAGATAAAGAAACACTGAAGGCACAGAGAAAAGAAACCTACAATTCCAGAGGCCCCCCCCCCGCACTCCACGGCAGCTGGAGCCCTCGCTGACAGGTAACTCCCAGGCCAGGCAGTTCGCACTGCTCTGCCAAGCTACGTCAGCAGCACTAGAGGGAAGGTGGTGGCACTTCAGCACCATGCAGCCGTCCCTCTCAGGCTCAGCCCGTATAAACTCTTGTCGTTGAGGATGTTGAGCAGACTCCCTCTGCTTTGTCGTGATTTAAGATTTGTGTTCTGTGCCTTTACTTCCACGTTTCACTCCAGTGATCTCTGGTTAAATTTCACTTCACTTAGAGCAGCAGAACACAAAGAATAGGGACAGAACACTCCCTGTTCTCCCCATGCCTGTGGTACCTCTAGAGCAGGGGTGTCAAACATGCGGCCCGGGGGCTGGACCAGGGGGGGGGGCCCGGAGGGCTTCTCTCAGGTCCACAGTGGAACTGGCCATCTTCTGCTTCTTTTTCCAGTTCTGCTGCTGCTGCGTCATCGTTGGTTTGCAGCTTACAGATACACACTTGAACAGCATACTCAAGATTGCAGCATTTATATGCTGATGATTTAACATTATACGTTTCCGAACCATCAAGATCTATCCAGGCTATCCTCCTCATGTTACAGAACTTTGGAATAATCTCGGGTCTACAAATAAATTACAGCAAATCTGAAGTGTACCCTATTTACATTAAGCAAGAGACGGCAGAATTGCTGCATAAACTTTGTCCTTTTAGCTGGGTTCAGGGAACATGGAGACATCTAGGTGTTATGATACCGATTAACTTAAAAGACCTGTTTAAATCCAATTACAATGCTCTTCATCTAAGAAATAAAACTGACTTCACTAACTGGGACTCGCTTAAGCTGACCTTACCGGACAGGCTATATCTGATTAAGAGCTTCATATTTCCAACATTCCTCTTCAGAGCACTACCGATTTTCATCGCTAAAAAAGATCTACAAATTTGGCAAAAGTCCTTAACAAACTTTCTATGGGAGGGGAAAAAATCTAGGATAAATTGTAACTTATTGCACAGACCTGCAAAACTAGGAGGCCTAGATCTTCCCTTATTACAAGCTGCAATTTTATCACAGGTGATCCAAATGCAATACGAGGATGATCAGCAGCACTGGGGAAAAATCGAATTAGTATACACTGCTCCATTCACTCTTCAAGAAATTGCCTGGATTAAACCTACTGCCAGACCAAGATCGATCAAAGAAAATTTTTTATTGTCAACAGCAATTGCTACTTGGGATAAGATCAAGCACCTCCTGCCTCAAGGGATCTCTCAACTGTCCACATTTACTGGCCAAGGCTGGTTTCAACAAGACCTAATTTCACACGCTTTTGAGGACTGGAGGGAAGCAGGATTTGGATGCCTACATGACTTAATAGACAAAGGAACAATTCGGGACAAGCAATTTTTTGACCAGAAAATGGGGAAGCAAACCCCTTGGTTTCAGTATCTACAGTTAAAACACCCCACTGACCACCTTGCGGAACGGCACATTTGGTAGGGAATTAACAAACCTAGAAAAAATCATTAAACAATATCCCAATTCCCCAGAAGACACGGTGTCTAAAATATACCGTACGATAATCTTGGAAGCGAATCATCCGAAATTCAAATTCCAACATCGTTGGGAAGAAGAGCTGTCGGTACAATGGAATGAAGCAGATTGGGAAAGTGTGTGGTCCTCCCCAGCCAATTGCTCCACCATTTTCAATGTCCGACTACAGTTTTTTAAAATTCAGTTGCGATGGTATATAACCCCTCAACAGTTACATAAAATAAACGTGAATAACAGCCCGCAATGCTGGAAAGGCTGTGGGCAGGTTGGCACCTACC